AAACGTCAACTTTCCTGCTCCTCTGATGCTGCCCGGCCTGCTGTGTTACTCCAGCTCCACATTGTGTTATCTCTGACTCCGGCATCTGCAGTTCTTACTACCCCTTCTGTAGATGCTGCCTGACCTGGGATGTCTTAATGGTACGAGCCCTTGACTTGCTATCGGTCCTGAATGTTAGTTATTATTTCACAAGCCTGCAGACCGTCCTTACAAATAATATATTATCAGCAGATGCACAACAATATGGACATCTGGGGCCAGGTTTTAGGTCACCGAACCAGGCTGTTGTATCACACCGAGATAGGGAGAAGCTGAATTATAGACTAACTGCAATGGAACACCACAGTAAACAAAAAAAAATCACAAGCTGCATGGCAACTCCCCATGAACAGAAACGTCAGTGTGCCACTCTCATAGTACTTTGCTGCTTTTAAAGCTGCACTGTAGCTCTCCCTTGTTGGGTGAGAGTCTCCCTGGAATACACACCATCAGCAACCCATGAGGGCAGCCCAAGTGTCTGTGGATAGCAGCAAACCCTTGAAAGCCCAAATGTTAATGTCCCTCTCTTGACTTCTATTTGACCCATTCCGCAGGACAGTAGACGTGACAATGCGGATCTAATCAGATGAGGTAAAGAACTCATCATTAGGGCTTATGCCACTTTTTAAACTTACAGTCATAAGGATAGAAGAAGTAAGAACAAGCAATATGATTCTCAAGAGGGACATTCCATGGGGAAACACCTAGTTAAAAAAAACATAGCAATCGTTGGAAATGAATAGGGCGTACTGGAGCTCCATTTTGAAACATACAAGGACCATAATGTGTCATTCACCAGGCTGACTAGTTTACCTTTAAGTAGATCAGCCCCACCATTCAGTGCAAGCACCATATCTCTTGAACCCCTTACAGTACACAAACATACAGATCTCAATTAGGAATGTATTCCTCAACTGAGCATCCACAGCCCTTTGCAGAAAGAGAATTCTAAAGATTCAGAAACCTCCAAGTGAGAGGAATGTCCTTAGTTGCAAATAGATGGTTTTCCTTCTCCCGAGCATCACAAGCCAAAGACTCCTCCTGTCCATTACTGACCCTGTGTAATTGATGAGCATTGTCAGAGCATGCTGTAAGGCACATACCTGGTTAGGTTTGAAGTAGCTGAGGTTGAGGTTGGGATAGCGGGTAAGTGGGTCAATACTGTACTGACTAATGTTCTTGTTTGTGTTTTCGGGTGTAGTCTGTGACAGCAGCTGGTAGATGCTCTCCCTGGAGAAGGACATACAATAAGATTACACTTCATACAGGAGACAATATTGACTGGATTTAACATGCTGCGTAATAGAGGATATGAGATGAGAATTCTTTTATTCTTTCGTAGAGTATGCATTTTGCTGGAAAGTCCAGCACTTGTTGCCCATTCCCTGCTGCCTTTGAATGGAGTGACTGCCTCGGTCTTGACAGCAGGCAGTTCAGAGTCAACCACATTGCTGTGGGTCTGGAGTCACATGTATCAGATGGGTAAAGATGGGGAGGTTTCCTTCCCTAAAGAAGGTTAATAAACCAGAAGGGTTTTAAAAACAATCAATTTTAGTTCCACAAGATTACTGAGACTAGCTTTACAATTCCAGATTTATTAATAAAATGTTATATGACATGGCGGGATTTCAATCCTTGTTCCCAGAGAATTAACCTGGTCCTCTTACAGATACACCATTGCTTGATCATCTTTGAAATGTAACTTGAAACCTCATGAGATTAAATGGTGCAAGGTATTGTAACAAAACACGGCCATCTGTATTTGTATTTGACAGGCCCAATAGCCATTTCTCATTAGGACTTCTTATCTAGGCTTGATAGACAGCAATAACACTGCCTCATTTCCTTAGTGGTGCTGACACAGTGACTCTGCACTCCCCATTTCCGAGATCTGAGATCTTATCTGGTGTCAATGCAACTGATGCAATATGACCTGGCCAATCATTAGGGATGATTATCTGCTCACTATCACACGGCAATTTGTGGAGCTCATTACATTCAAATTCACTTTATTGGCTGTAAAGTGCTTTGATGCATCTTGAGATTGTGTAAGGCGCTATATCAATGCAAGCTTTTCTTAAAGACCTCAGAAGCCATGGCGTTGCCTCTCTGTCTGGGCCAGTAGTTACTGATATTGCATAATGATTTGCCAATAGCATTTCATTTCTTCCACCACTACATATTCACTGCCTGGTTCCATAAACAGTGCTCTCAGCACCTCACCCAGGAGGTGACCATTTTTTATGATTATAAGGGAGTTAGACAAAGGAACATAATATCCACTAAGCAGACAAAAGGTGATTATTGGAACGTACATGATCAAAGAATCAGATGTAAACTGGGGGTTGGAGCAGAGCATCTTTCTTATTACTCATTCATAGGATATTGCATCACTGACTGGACTGGGATTTATGGCCCATTCCTAGTTGCCATTGAGATGGTGGCAGTGAGTTGCCTTCTTGAACGGCTGCAGTTGAGAGGTAGACAAGGACAGCGGATGTGTAAGGACACCATCACTTGCAAAATCCTTTGGTGTTGGTGAATCATTGCCCTGGAACTCCCTCCCTAAAATTACTGTGGGTGCCTCTACACCTGCAGCAGTTCAGGAAGACATATAATTTTGTGCAACTGTATTGAGATACGCAAGATAGCCCAAGCCTAACTCGCCCAACATTCACCAACACAATGTTGAATGGAGAGTTTAGGAGCGCAGTTTCTTTGAACATCTGTTCACAGAATGTGGACATTGCTGTTTGGACCAGCATTTATTGTCCAACTCTAATTAGAGAGGATGATGGTGAGCTGCCTTCTGGAACTGTTGCAGCCTCTGGGGTTTGGAACGTTCACAATGCTGTTGGCCCAGTAACACTGAAGGAACTTACAGGTGATGATATTCCTATCCAACAGTAGGCACTGATGGCAGAGTCAGCAGCTTTGGAAGGTGTTGTCAAAGAAACGTTGTGAGTTGCTTCAATGCATTTTGTAAACGGTATGTCCTGCTGGCACTGTATATTGATGGTGAAGGTAGAAGGATGTTAAAGATGGTGAATTGAACTACTAATCAAGTGAGCTGCTGTGTCCTGAATGGTGGCAAGTGTCTTGAGTTTCTTAGGGGCTGCACTCATCCAGGCAAGTGTAAAGTATTCCATCGCACGCCTGATTTGGTTGGCACCACATTTACAAGCATTCACTCCCTCCACCACTGATGCTCAGTAGAAGCAGTGTGTACTATCTACAAGATGCCCTGCAGAACTTCACCTATGATCCTCAGACAGCACCTTCCAAACCCGCAACTACTTTGATCTATAAGGACAAGGGCAGCAGATACATGGGAACACCACCACCAGCAAGCTCCCCCCCACCCCCTGAGTCACTCACCGTCCTGACTTGGAAATATGTTGGCGTTGTCACTAAATTAAAATCCTGGAACTCCCCCTCTCAGGACATTGTGGGTCAACTTACAGTACATTGACTGCAGCAGCTCAAGAAATCAACTCACCACCACCTTCTCAACGGCAACTAGGAATGAGCAATAAACACTGGCCAGCCAGTGACACGCACGTCCCATGAGTGAAAAAAAGAACCTTGTGCCTTATAGATGGTTGACAGGTTTTGAGGAGTCAGGTGGTGAGTTACTCACCACAGGATTCCTAGGTTCTAACCACTCTTGCAGCCAAAATATTAATATCGCTAGTCCAGTTCTGTTCTTAGTCAGTCTCCCAGGATACTGATAGCAGTGGATTTAGTGATGGTAATGGCCATTGTATGTTAAGGGGCAATGTCTCTTGGATTGTCTCTTGGAGTCTGCTTGATTTCTCCGTCTCCCACCAAATATACAGACACTAAGATCATCTGAGCCTTGAGTTGAGCCTAGTCTACATGCCCATCCAGGTGCATTTCTTCATTCACAATGAGCAAGAAATTCCACACTTTTAAGAAAAACAACCATGGTCAGCGCAACGAAAAATTAGGCAGAATGAAAAGCACATGAGTGACAATATATTCAAAGCTGTTTCACTCCTACCTCTCAGCCAGGAGCTCCAGAGGGGGAATTCCCATACTCCACTTCCGTACTAACCACGCAGCATCAAAAGCTGCAAGGAATCCACGTGCAATGCCAGTCCCTAATGGCCAGAAGGGCTGAAAATAAAAGAGTTGCAGGAACACGTGGTAACTCATTCATTTACATTCTGCAACTTGTATGTTTACCTTGTCATGGTAAATGACATACTACAGAAAGATCATGAATAAGGCAGCACAGTGGCTCAGTGGTTAGCACTGCTACCTGGGTTCGATTCCACCCTTGGGTGACTGTCTGTGTGGAGTTTGCACATTCTCCCCGTGTCTGTGTGGGTTTCCTCTGGGTGCTCCAGTTTCCTCCCACAGTCCAAAGATGTGCAGGTTAGATGGAGTCGCCATGCTAAATTGCCCATAGTGTCCAGGGACGTGCAGGTTAGGTGGATTAGCCATAGGAAATGCAGGATTGCAGGGATAGGATGGACTTGATGGGTCAAATAGCCTCCTTCTGCACTGTTGGGATTCTATAAAGGCTTTAAAAAGTGCTATTGTTAGCTTGGCTCAGGTCCCTTTGTGGACACGAACGAAATGAAAGGATGGTATGTTGCCTCCTGGGTGCCAGGGTCCGTGATGTCTCGGATCGTGTCTTCAAGATCCTTAAGGGGCAGGGTGAGCAACCAGCAGTCATGGTGCACATCGGTACCAATGACATAGGGAGAAAAAGGACAGAGAATGAAAAACGAGTACAGGGAGTGAAGTTGGAAGCTGAAATCCGGACAAACATGGTAGTTATCTCTGGATTACTACTAGTGCCTCGTGATAAACGAGGTAAGAAATAGGGAGAGTGTGCAGCTAAACACATGGCTACAGGGCTGGTGTAGGAGGGTGGGCTTCCAGTATGTGGATAATTGGAGCACATTCTGGGGAAGGTGGGACCTGTACAGTAAGGATGGATTGCACCTGAACCGGAAGGGCACAAATATCCCGGGAGGGAGGTTTGCTCGAACTGTACGGGATGGTTTAAACTAGTTTGGCGGGGGGTGGGAAACCGGATTTGTAATTCAGAGGATGAGGTATTCGGCCTTCCAACAGACACAACAGGGAGTGAGGTGGGTTATAAAGAAATGCGGTCAATGGACCGTAGTTGCGGATACTGAGAAGGTTTGAGGTGTGTATGCTTCAATGCAAGAAGTATCAGAAATAAGGCGGATGAACTTAGAGCATGGGTCGGGACTTGGAACTACAACGTTGTGGCCATTACAGAAACTTGGGTAACTCAGGGAGAGGAATGGATGTTGGAAGTTCCGGGATTTAGATGCTTTAAAAGAAATAGGGAGGGTGGAAAAAGAGGCGGGGGAGTGGCATTGCTCGTCAGGGCGAGTATAGCAGCTACTGAAAGGCAGTTCGAGAATGTTATGTCTACAGAGTCAGTTTGGGTTGAGGCCAGGAACAAGGAAGGAGCAGTCACTTTGTTGGGGGTTTTTTTACAGACCCCCTAATAGTTGCAGAGAAGTGGAGGAGCGGATTGGGAGGCAGATACTAGAAAGGTGCAGAAGTCACAGGGTTGTAGTCATGGGTGACTTCAACTTTCCAAATATTGATTGGAAACATTTTAGTTGTAATAGTTCAGATGGAGAGGATCTTGTCCAGTGCATTCAGGAAGGATTCCTGACACAGTATGTAGATAGACCAACACGAGGAGAGGCCACTTTGGATTTGGTGCTTGGCAACGAACCGGGCCAAGTGTTAGACCTATTGGTAGGAGAGCATTTTGGCGGTAGTGATCATAACTCTGTTTCTTTCACGATAGTCATGGATAAGGATAGGTACATACGGCAGGGTAAAGTTTATAATTGGGGGAAGGGTAATTACAATTCAGTTACGCAAGAACTGGGTAACATAAATTGGGAACAGATGCTGTCAAGGAAGAGCACCACAGAAATGTGGAGATTGTTTAAGGAATGCATACTTCATGTGCTCGATATGTTTGTCCCTAGCAGGCAGAGAAGATGCGGTCGAGTGAGGGAGCCATGGTTCTTGAGAGAGGTCGAACGACTGGTTAAGAGGAAGAAGGAGGCTTATGCAAGGTTTAGGAAAAGAGGAACGGAAAAGGCTCTAGAGGGATACAAGTTAGCCAGGAAGGAGCTGAAGAAAGGGCTTAGGAGAGCTATAAGGGGGCATGAGAAAACCTTGGCGGATAGGATCAAGGAAAACTCGAAGGCTTTTTACACGTATGTGCAGAACAAGAGAATGACCAGAGAAAGGGTAGGGCTGATCAAGGATTGTAAAGGGAATTTGTGCACAGAGCCTAAAGAGATAGGAGAGGTTCTTAATGAATACTTTTCTTCAGTATTCACAACTGAGAGGGACCTAGTTGTAGAGGAGGACGTTGCGAAACAGGCAGGTAGGCTAGAGGAGGTTGATGTTAGTAAAGAAGATGTGCTAGGAATTCTAAGGAAGTTGAAGATAGCTAAGTCCCCCGGGCCTGATAGGATTTATCCAAGGATTCTATGGGAAGCGAGGGAAGAGATCGCAGGGCCTTTGGTGATGATCTTTTCGTCCTCACTGTCCACGGGTATAGTGCCAGAAGATTGGAAAGAGGCAAACGTCATTCCCTTGTTCAAAAAAGGGAACAAGGATAACCCCGGAAATTACAGACCAGTTAGTCTTACGTCAGTGGTGGGCAAATTATTGGAAAGGGCTCTGACAGACAGGATTTATGATCACTTGGAAAGGCACAGTTTGATTCGTGATAGTCAGCATGGATTTGTGAGGGGTAGATCATGCCTCACAAACCTTATTGAATTCTTTGAAGAGGTGACCAAACACGTGGATGAAGGTGGAGCAGTGGATGTGGTATATATGGATTTAAGTAAGGCGTTTGATAAGATTTCCCATGGTAGGCTCATGCAGAAGGTAAGGAGGCATGGGATAGGGGGAAATGTGGCAGATTGGATTCAGAATTGGCTGACCCTTAGAAGACAAAGGGTGGTAGTGGACGGAAAATATTCAACATGGTGCTCAGTTATGAGTGGTGTACCACAAGGATCTGTTCTGAGTCCTCTTCTATTTGTGATTTTCGTAAATGATTTGGATGAAGGAGTGGAAGGGTGGATTAGTAAGTTCGCGGACGATACGAAGGTGGGTCACGTTGTGGACAGAGTGGAGAGCCATTCTAGGTTACAAAGGGACATTGATAGAATGCAGAGCTGGGCTAGGAAGTGGCAGATGGAGTTTAACCCTGAAAAGTGTGAGGTGATTCATTTTGGAAGGACTAACTTGAAAGCAGAATACAGGGTTAACGGAAAGATTCTTGGCAGTGTGGAGGAGCAGAGGGATCTTGGGGTTCATGTTCACAGTTCCCTGAAAGCTGCCACCCAGGTAGATAGAGGCGTATGGTGCATTAGCTTTCATTAATAGAGGGATTGAGTTCAAGAGCCATGAAGTTATGCTCCAGCTATACAAAAGCCTGGTTCGGCCACATCCGGAGTATTGTGTCCAGCTCGGGTCGCCTCATTATAGGAAAGATGTGGAAGCGTTGGAAAAGATGCAGAGGAGATTTACCAGGATGTTGCCTGGAATGGAGGGAAGGTCTTACGAGGAAAAGTTGAGAGAGCTAGGGCTTTTCTCTTTAGAACAACGAAGAATGAGAGGCGATTTGATAGATGTGTACAAAATGATCAGAGGTATAGATAGAGTAGACAGCCAGAGACTTTTTCCTAGGGTGGAGGTAGTTATTACGAGGAGGCATAGTTTTAAAGTGAATGGAGGTAGATATAGGGGAGACGTCAGAGGTAGGTTCTTTACTCAGAGAGTGGTAGGGGCGTGGAATGCATTGCCGGAGAGGGTAGTGGAGTCAGCCTCATTAGGGGCATTTAAGCGGCTAATAGATAGGCATATGGATGATAGTATAAGGTAGCGGTGGAGGTTAGATAGACCTTAGGTTTCGGGTAAAAGTTCGGCACAACATCGTGGGCCGAAGGGCCTGTACTGAGCTGTACTGTTCTATGTTCTATGTTCTAACAAGGAATCACCAATATGTCATTCACTCTGCTTTGTCCACCCCCTATCCCAAGTAAGACACTTTCAGAAAAGGGAAGTGGAGAACTGTTTCAACTTGCAGACAAAGTTTACTAATGCAGTGAAGATCCCACCTACAAAATCAATGCGCAAGGGAGGGAGGGTTAGGCAAGGTGGCAAAGAGGCGTGTTTACCTCTGTAGGCTAAACCTGCCAGGAAGCTTATCCTGGGCCTACAGATAGTTGATTTTCAAATGGCCTGCTGCAGCAGGAACGCAAATGTGTGTTGGTGCCCATTTGTGGAACTATTAGCTTGTACAGTACAGTACAGTCGGTTCTGATTTAACGCGATAGTTCTGTTCTCGCGTTATAAGAAAATTGCTTAATAGCTGCGCCTTTTAAACTAAAGGGGGCGGAATCACATTATAGCCAATACAGGTAAGGAAAGTTCGTGTTCTACAAATAGCCGTCTAAATTCTTCAATCGCGTTAAAGCCCATTTGTGTTGAAGAAACACGCATTATAGCAGAACCGACTGTATGATGTTTTCACCGATCTTGAGGTTTAGAAAGGGAACAGAGGAGTAACACTAGGCTGATTGCTTACTTATCAAGGTGGGACAAAAGAGTTGATGTTATTTCAAAGCAGTGTAGACTTAAGCTGTATTTCATTGAAGTCTTTTATGATAATGAAGAGAATCAATGATTTTTGAGTTGACATTTTGTTCATTTTAGATCGACTAGGCAGGAGGAAGTGGTACAAGTTTCAATTGTCCAAAGCCAGATCCATGTTACAGCAGTGAAGCACAGGAACAAGCTGCTGGCTCATGTAGTCACCACCTCCTCAATTAATTTCTGTTCCCGAAGATGAGAGTCAAAGAAGAATTTCCCCAAACTGTTGCTTGTTTTGATTTGGATTTTTGATCCTTCTGAAAGGTAGGGTGCAGGGGACTGAGGATCAGATATTACAAAGCATATGGTATCAAGAGTTAGACTTCTACTGGGTGGAACAGCCCTCGATGTTTGCCCTCAAATGCTGATATGGGGGTAGCAGAAAGCAACTGGTCCATATGAAACAACAACCCAGCAAAGACTAAATTTCTTCTGAACAACAGGGACGATCAGTCAGAGCCATTTTAAACCCAGGCCCTGTTTTGAACATGGAGATTGTAACGGCATGCAGGCAGCCCAAAGGTAACATGTCTGATCAGTCTGTCTGCAAGGATTGATCCCCGTAGACAGACCGACACCAATAACCCCAGTGGGTATACCAATCCTAACAGATGGTCCCCAATATAAACAAACCGTGTTTTTGTAACAACCAAACACTCACCTCCACCAGGCAGTCTCCCACCAGGGCGACCAGTAACCGGTGTCCGTGCCGTTCCTTCACCAGCGCGGCATTCTCTGACCGGTACATGCAGGTGAAGTCAAACATGGCCACATCCGGCTCCCCGCGGTGATTCTTGGCAAATTCCAGATGGGGAAGCTGGTACTTGGTGGCAAAGTTGGCAGCTTCCCGAGCGTAGGAGAGGAGGGATTCCAAACAGACATTCTGCGGAGACAGCAGGGAATCTGCGTCTTGCTTGTCCTGTCAAAGTGAGGTCGGGGGCATGTTATTCCGTTAAATCACCCAAAATGCAGCAAAGGGAGGGAAGCAAGAGCTGTAGCAGATAGCTTGGTGGGGAGGTGGCTCTCCGTGAACTCTGTACTGAGCCAGACACATCAGTCTCAGCGGGATGATACCATTGTCCTCAGTCTCTTTGGTTATCTGGCAAAAGGAAAATGACCCAGTCTGCCTCTTCCTCTGTTGGCAGTGAGCATCGATATTGAGCAAAGAGAAGATTGTACAGGGGTTCCATTGGTGAAATACTCATTGCCTAGTCTGGTACAGTATTACCTCTGCCAAAGCCTCTGGTGCCATGACTAAGAGTTGGCATCGTCAATAGAGGACTGGGGAAGCATCTGTCCATGGATGGCCCTCTTCAGTGACATCATGGCACAGACTAGACACCACTAAGGAGGGCAGCAGATACCACCAATCTATTCCGGGAATTCCATCGACTCGGTGAGCATCCCCTTTTGAACTGCGTGAGTTAATCCTGGGATTTACTCAAAGACGATTGAAACAGGCTGGTGTTGACCAATTCCAGTTAGAGACTGACCACAATCTAAACGCAGGTATGCCAGTAACACGAGATGCTGGGTAAGATTTCAACCAAAGTTAGTCAGGATCTTGGAGACTGACTTATTGACCATTCCCAGGACCTCTGATATAAGCGACAGCGCTAGAGACTGGGGCGAAACAGTCATTCTTTTACTCAGAAGATTCCAAAGGGTTGGAGGAAATGCTAGAGGCTGCTTCGAGAGAGGAGAAATGAAATAAGTATGAAAAGAAAATTCTGAGGAACATTCTAGGCTAATTGCTCCATGATATTTTTCAACTTTAGTCTTATCCCTCCCAGTTGAACCTCTGCTCATAGCTGTTTTGATGTGGAGGTGCCAGTGTTGGACTAGGGTGGACTAGGTCAGAAATCACAAAACACCAGGTTATGGTCCAACAGGTTTATATGAAAACACAAGCAAGGGCTACGCTCCGAAAGCTCGTGTTTTCAAATAAACCCGTTGGACTATAACCTGGTGTCGTGTGATTTCTGACATTGCTGTTTTGGCATTGCTCCAATTGAAATGGCTAATATTGAAAGGACGGACGTCCCAAGATAGGTCACCATTCCATCTAGATACCCCACTCAACCATAATGAAAGGAACAATAATTTCAGGCCAGAAGAAGCTGGTCAGGATTTCTGCTTCTCATTCACTAGACAGGTCATCACAGGTGAGGATGAAACAAAAACAAAGTTGCTGGAAAAGCTCAGCAGGTCTGG